AAATTTTTTGTTTGTTCTTTGGACAAGATCTGTGATTTCATTGGTGTAGGAAATTCTCTCTCAACCAGGGCAGATCAGAGACTTTTCTGTAGCTTAGCAACTTGGGGTTAAGTGACTTGTTTAAGGCTGCACAGCCAGTATGTGTCAGAGGCTCAATTTGTGATGAGGCTAAAAATGAAATCGTGTCTGGAAAGTACTTTATAGACTAGAAAGTGCCACGTACATGTGTTGTTTTTTATAATCATCATTATTCCAGCCTCAGACACGTCCTCATTATGTGACTTTGGGCAAGTCACTTAACCTTCGTTGTTTGCCTCAGTTTCCTCATCTGTAAAATGGAGATCATAGTAGCATTTACCTCCTAGGGCTAGTGTGAGGATGAAAGGAGGTAAATGTAATTAGCACGGCACCTCATACATAGTAATCACTATAAGCACGATAATTGTTGTTGTTATTATTTCTACTTCTTTGTCCTGGATTTGTGATTTCAGAGGGTGTGGGGATCTAGAACTAACTCCAGAGATACAGGTCAGGAACTTGCCTGTAACTGAGTCTTCTTTGACAGGGGGCACTTGGAAGATACCAGGTTTACAAAGCAGGTATGGGTCAGAGGCTGCACGTGAACCTAGGTCCAGCCCTCTGCTCACTAGGTCCTGCTGCTTCTCTGTCTTTCTAGGTGTTAATAGGATCCATTTTTTCCCCCCACTGCACTGGGCACTGCTTCACTATCCCCTGCCTTAAGAGACGGTTCCATGACTGACTATGGCTGAATCAGATCATCCTCTGGGACCCTGTCTTCTGGGGATCAGCCTTTCTACCCTTAGGTTTGTCCTCCAAAGACACGGCCAGATTCCTCACCCTCTCCCTTCCTCCGATCCATTGCTGAGTAAGTATCTAAAGCCTTTCTAGGGTGGTAGGACCTGATGTAGCTGGAGTTCTGCTGGCAGAGCCTTTGCCAACCCAGAATCACCTCCTTGGAATGATGAGGAAGTGGAGGAAAGCTTTAGGGAACAATTGTGATCCTTTAGTTCAGACCTTGGGGGTGGAAGCACTGGACTAAAGCACTTTAGGAGAAGATGGGGTGTCTTGACTTGTGTGTATACAGGTATTTCTCAAAGAGTGGGCTCCTTGAGGTCAGGAGCTGCTTATTTTTGTCCTGGTCTCTATGGCACCTCCCACAGTGCCATAAATGCTTATTGAATGAATGAATGACCCTCATTCTCTTCTCTGGGGCCAAGGGGAGCAAGTCCAATCTCTCTTCCACATAACGATTTCTTCTGTACTTGAAGTTGACAGTCATGTCTTCCCTAAGTCCTCTCAGCACTGAGTAGCCTCAGTTGTAGAGGTTCCCCTCTGCCCTTGACCAGCTTCTTAGAACCCAAAAGGCACTGCCCTAAACAGGAGAGGGACTTGTCCCTCTCCTGGCTCTGTTCCAAGGCCACTTTTAGGAGTGACAGGTATCAATGGAGTGTAAACCAACTGTTTACTTTCCACCTATATGAAAGGAAAAGGGGAAAGCAGTTGTACCAACTTGAGAAGGAGAGAAATTGGAGACATTTGTTGAATTAGGAACACCATTCGCAGCAAAAGAGGTTTGTAGAACACTGAATACTCATGGGATTGTCCATTTCTCTAGTTAGCTAGCAAAGGAATTCAGCTATCAAGTGAATGAAGCAGGATTTGAACTCAAGTCTTCTGCATCTCTCCAAATCTAACACTTTTGCCATGGGGCTAACCTAGCCTTCTGAGAAAGTATACCCAAAGTAATTCTCCAGAAGGTTCTAATAACTGGAGGAATCAGACAAAGACTCAGGGAGGAGAGGACATTGAAACTGAGAATTAAATGAAAAGAGGAAAAGGGAGGGAACCTTAGAAGGGGTGCAGATTAAGAAGTCAATTAGACGTTTGAGAAGGGGTAGGGTAAAAAGAGAGGAAGAAAGGTAGGATGGAGGAAATGCACAGCCAGTGATTATCACTTTGAATGTGAATGGAATGAACGTTCTCATAAAATAGAAATGGATAGCAGAATGCATTAAAAACCAGAATCTGATAATATGTTGTTTACAAGAGACACGCTTAAAAATGAGACATACACAAAGAGTAAAAATAAAGGGCTAAAGTAGAATTTATTTTGCGTCAGCTGATGCAAAAAAGGGCAGGGCTAGCAATCATGATCTCAGATAAAGTTAAAGCTAAAATAGATTTAATTAAAAGAGATAAACAGGGAAACTACATTATGATAAAAGGCACTATAGATAATGAAGTAATATCAGTACTAAACTTATAAGCACCAAATGCTATAGCATCTAAATTTTTTGAGGAAAAGTTAAATAAATTACATCTGGAAACAGAAAGCAAAAGTATAAAAGTGGGGGACTTCAACCTTCCCCTGTCAGGACTAGGTAGATCTAACAAAAAAAAAAAGTAAGAAAGCAGTCAAGGAGATAAATGGAATCTTAGATAAGCTAGAGATAATAGATATCTGGAGGGAATTTAATAAGAATAGAAAGGAATATGCCTTTTTCTCAGCAGTACCTTTACAAAAATTGGCAATATAATAGAGCATAAAAACTTTGTAGTTAAATGGAGAAAAGGAGAAATGTTAAATGTATCCTTTTCAGGTGATAATGCAATAAAATTATATTTAATAAGGGACCATGGAAACAGATTAAAAATTAACTGGAGACTAAATAACCTAATCTTAAAGGATGAGTGGGTTAAAGAACAAGTCATAGAAGCAATAAATTATTAAAGAGAGTGATAATATGGGATGCAGGAAAAGCAGTAATCAGTGGAAAATTTATATCTCTAAATGCTTACATCAATAAAATGGATGCAATTAAAAATAAAACTAGAAAAAGAACAAATTAAAAATCCCCAATTAAACACCAAATTAGAAATCCTAAAAATTAAAGCTGAGATTAAAAAAATTGAATGTACAAAAAAATAATTGAATTAATAAATAAAACTAGAAGTTGGTTTTATGAAAAAATCAATAAAATAAACAAACCATTGGTTGATATAATTTTTTAAAAAGAGAAGGGAACCAAATTTCTAGTATCAAAAATGAAAAAGGTGAATATATTACTAAGGAAGATGAAATCAAAGCAGTTATTAGGAGTTATTTTGCCCAATTATGTGTCAATAAATGCAACAATTTAAGTGAAATGGGAGAATATGTACAAAAATATAAAATGCCCAGATTGACAAAAGAGGAAATAAAATATCTAAATAAGCCTATTTTAGAAAAAGAAATTGAACAGGTCATCAATGAGCTTCCTAAGAAAAAAGGCATCCAGACCAGATGGATTTACAAGTGAATTCTCCAAAATATTTAAAGATCAACTAATTCCAGTATTAAATTATTTGGAATAATAGGCAAAGACCTATGTAATCCCCTTTATGAAACAGATATGGTGCTGATACCCAAATCAGAAAGAACAAAAAGAGAGAAAGAAAATTATAGACCAATTTCATTAATGAATATGGATACAAAAATTCTAAATAAAATACTAGCCAGAAGACTACAACCATAGCACAAAAATTATACATGGGGACCAAGTGGGATTTATGCCAGGAATGTAGGGATGGTTTAACATAAGGAAAACATCCATCTTTTCTCCTTTGATCAGTTCAGATGACAGTGAGATTCAAGCATCAGCCTCTCTCCCACCTTATATAGACTTCTACTTTCTCACTCTCAATTATGGAAGATAATTTCCCCTAACCTGCATTTCCCTTTCCCTCCCTTTACATTCTTCTTTTAAGTTTATTGAGGCGTAGCAGAACCATTCCCAGTCCTTCTGTCTACATGGACTCCCTCTATGACCCCTGATGATGATAAGAGTTTAGAAGGGACACGTAGATCATCTCCCTGTATGAGAATATAAAGTCCACTCTTATTTAGATTCTCATGATTGTCTCATTGGAGGTCTTTAAGCAAAGGTCAAATGCCCGATTTTCAGGAATGCTGTAGAGGGCTTTCTTCATCAGGTATGCCTTGGATTAGATGGTCTAGGAGGCCATTCCTGGTGCTGGTAATCTCTGATGATTGAATCACTTGAGATAGTTTAGGTATGGAGGCAGGGGGATTGCATATATGACCTCTCAATGCCATTGATTTCCTTTAGAGCACTCGCTGTTTTGGTGCATACAGTAGGAACTGAAAATAAATGTTGATTGAACTGAATGGGAATGACAATGGCATTGTTTGGGTGTGTTCAGGCAAGTCAATCAATAGGTCAAAAAGCATTTTTAAGCACCTACTATGTGCTGGGCATTGTTTTAGGTGTTGCGTACACAGAGACAAAAATAAAAGTCCCCATCCTTGAGGAACATATTCAATGGAGTGGCTAGTTAATTGTCCATGGCCAAGAAAGTAATGAGCCAAATAGATATCAGCTAGAACTAGGGCGGGGCAACTGGGGCATTGGCAAGAATAACTCACTAAAATAGGAAGCTATTGGATAGTGCACTGGGGTGAGTCCTCCCCCTCACCACTCCCCATTCTGCATTATGGGTGTGCAGGGCCCCTCTTCCCCCAATCCAATGAGGTCATGCTTTTTGCTGCTTGCTCTGGGCACAACATTTGAATAAGTGTTTGATCTCCATCCTATTTTCTAACCTGAATGCGCAGGGTGCTGGGCTCAGCACAGGCTCTCCCTCGGCTGGACGACAGCACTTTCCAATGGGGATTACCCGTTCCACTAGAGTCTATTCTGCTGCTCTTTCCAAGGAAGAGCCCTGTTACTCTCCTACCAGTATCAGGATTGGATGAGGCCTCGTTGGAAGAAATTTTTATATTAAAATAGATGATTATGATTATTAAATGAGCAGAATACCAAATGCAAGGCTAGACAGGACCTTAGAAGTCATCTGATCCAACTCACTTATTTTAAAAAGGAGGAAACTGAGGCACAGAGAGGTTAAGTGATTTGTTCAAAGTAACTCAGGTAGTGAGGAGAAGAAGTGAAGTTTGAACTCGGGTCTCTCACTCGGAATTCACAGCTTCTCCCATTGAGCCGCACAGCCTTTTAGTCTGTTGAGGCTTGAAAACAAGCCCCTCCCCACTGTTTACCCCTCTCACTGGGACTTTTACCACACAGCTCCACTCCGGTTTCCTGCTGGCTCCCCAAGAGCTCCACGAGGGGCGTACTGCAGACAGTTGCTCCCCTTGAGATGGGGGGCACATGTCACTTGGTAATGGAACTTTAGGTGGCCATGACTGAAGTAGCAGTGCTCCCACCATCCCCCCTGCCTCTGGCAGGCGGTCACAAGAGCCCAGGAGGTCGTCATCCCAGCCCTGGTCTGCCTCCCACACCTGCATCCTCAGGGGGCCCCCAGTCATCAGCTGCACAGTCCCAAAGTCCAGCTTCGTGTTCCATGTGGGATTGTTATTATTCCATACCACTGGGGTCCTCAGCTCCTTGTTTCCAAAGAAGGCCTTGATGTAGGCATCAGTTGCTGTGAAATAATCTCCCCACAGGTTCTTGGCGCTGATGCTGGTCACCTCCACGTGGGCCAGCCCCCTCTCCCTGGGGCAGCAGTCACCGCTGGTAAAGACTGATGTCTGGCACACACAATGGCACGGGTCTCTGGGGTTCTTCTTCTGCCCTGGAGGGCACGGCTTGCTACAGTTCTGCCACCGGGCTCTGCTGTTCACATAGTGGCTCACAGCCTGTCTTAGCTCCTCTCGCCAGGGACTCTTAGACTTCAGCAAGAAGTGCAGAGGTTCCAGTGTGTAGGCCAACAGTCCGGGCTTGCTGGGGAGTGTGTTCATCCATTCTGAGAACTTCTCTTTCCCGTCCTGATCCGAGAAGAGCAGTTCGGATGAGCCCCCGTTGAATTTCCCTCCCTCCACCTCCACTTTGCGCTCTCTGTAGGTGGTGTGGAAGGAGCCCTTGATGTTGTGGTTTTTCTTCTCTTCCTCACACTTCTTGACATCTGATGAGGCTATGGCATTACCCACAGTCACGGCTGCCTCCACTGCAAGGCATGTGCTCACATCATTGGCCTTGAGCCCATCCAGAGCCAGCATGCATGTACGAAGGGCAGTGATGTCTGTGGCCCGGCCCCCCAGCTCCACGGACTTGAGAAAGTGGGTGCCATAATTGGCGATGAACCGATGGTAGTCGGCGCTAGTGGAGGCACTGAATTTGGGGGGCAGAGCCTTGACAGCCCGAAGGAACTCTTGATTCAGGGGGGGGTCCGCTACCAGGTGAAATCTGTGAGTGGAAAGAAAACCATCATCATCATCCTTCGAATCACCCAGCTTTACAACCTCTTAGCCATCCTCCATTCTTTACTCTCCTTCATCCCAGGTAACCAAATGGTTGCCAAGTCTTGTCACTTTTGCCCACATGACATCTCCTGTGGCAGATCCCTTCTTTCTACTCACACGGCCGTGGCTCTAACTCCAATCGCTATCACATCATGACTGGACTATTGTAATGGTCTTCTAATGGGTCTCCCTAACTCATTTCTCCCCTGATCCACCCTCTACACGGCTGCCAAAGTGATTTTCCTGGACTAAAAATCTGACCGTGCCACTCTCCTGTCTTCCTATGGTTCTGGATTAGTGCCAGTACTATCCCTGGGATCTCATGGGATCATAGATTTCAAATTGGAAGGGAGCTCAGGGACAACTCATTTTTACAGATGATGAAACTGAGGGCTTAACTGACGTCAAATGACTTGCCCAAGGTTACCTGGTGACACTTATTAGAGTGACACTCCATTCCCAAGGCACTGCATCACACTTCCTCCCTGATTTGGACTAACCATTATCATTCACTTCTGCTCCTTAGTCGACGATGAGTCCCTGCTCATACTAAATGGTAGAGGAAATAGAGCACTGAATGAGACTGGAGCTTGAATCTTGTCTCAGATATTTGCTCACCTTGTGGTCCTGGGCAAGTCATTTCACGCCTGTTGTCTTCAGTTCCTACCTCTGTAAAAGGGGCTTAATAATAGCACCTACTTCCCAGGGTCGTTATGAAGACTAAACGAAACAGTCTTCTTGCCTGGAATGCCTGCCCTTGGCCCTGAAGGTGCCAACAAATAGTTTCCCTTGTTCACATCCACGTCATGGCCTCTGGCGCCGGCCTCATTTCCCTTCCCCTCATCAGCTGCCAGGCTGCTGCAGCGGCTCCTGCTGCTTTGATGCCCCCCATTCCCATCCCCCTTCCAGTTTTGAAAACATAAGCAAATCGACTCAGTCATTGCTTTGGGAAAACCTGTGTCCTACTACCCCACTCTGGCTCCACTTTTTGTCCTGGTAACTTTATTTTTTCCTTCCTTCCTTCCTTCTTTCCTTCCTTCCTTCCTTCCTTCCTTCCTTCCTTCCTTCCTTCCTTCCTTCCTTCCTTCCTTCCTTCCTTCCCTCCTTCCTTCCTTCCCTCCCTCCTTCCTTCCCTCCCTCCTTCCTTCACTCCTTCCTTCCCTCCTTTCCTTCCTTCCCTCCCTCCTTCCCTCTCTCCTTCCTTCCTTCCTTCCTTCCTTCCTTCCTTCCCTTCCTTCCTTCCTTCCTTCCTTCCTTCCTTCCTTCCTTCCTTCCTTCCTTCCTTCCTTCCTTCCTTCCTTCCTTCCTTCCTTCCTTCCTTCCTTCCTCTTTGCAAACATCCGAGGTCTATCTGTGTAAGTGGCAGCTGTTAGCTGTCATTCTGCTGACGCTCCTTCCTCTGCGCTAAGTGGTCTTTGTTCCTTCTATCCAGTGGCTTGTCCCCTGAGCAGCCCGTCCCCTCCCCCCCCTACCTGTAGTAACTACACTGCACCGAGTCGATGGTGAAACTGTACTCGTCCTGGTGGGTCTTTCCAGCTGCGAACTGGGCTGCCTCAGAGTGGGAGGCAGCCACGGCTATTTGGCCCTTGATGTTGGGCTTGGGCTGGATTTCCAGGCCCACCTTCCAGTCATTCTGGATCGTCTTGGCGGCCTCGGCGGCCACTTGCACAACAGAGGAGGCTTCGGTCTTGGCTACGTCCCGCTTACAAATAGCACTCTGGCTGTGCCAGTCCGTAATGGCCAAGGGAAGGCGCTGGAGCTCTCCTTCCTGCATATCGTTGCTGCACAGTGTGCAGGTGCCGTCGGCACGCTCGAATCTGTGAGCGTCCACAGGGAAGTAGCCCGTTCGGCGGAGGGTGGTCACATCCACACCCTCCCCGGCCAGCTCCCAGCCTGGCACAAACGCCTTATGGCGGCGGCATTCAGCCCGGGTGGCAGTCCGGCAGGGCGCCGGTGTGGCCCAGGGAGGCTGGAGGAGGATGAACAGACAAAAGAGGAGGAGGCCAGGGAGGGAGGAGGAGGAGGACCGAGCCATCTTGTCCGCAGAGAGAGGGAGGAGGTGTGAAAAAGCTCCGAGTCTCCGCGGCGTGGGAGCAGTTCGACGGACTCTTCTGTCCGCTGCCTAGCTCATGGCCAGAGGTGCCGCCTGGAGGGATGAAGTGTTTGGCCTATGGGATGGGAACCTGCAGTAGGAACATGGCAATTCCACATCACTTCTATGCATACAATGTCTGAGCTGAGGGAGATCTTAGGACATGGAATAAAGAATGTTAAGGCTAAAAGTTTCTGTAGAGAACATTGAGCTTAGAAAGGCTGAGAGGAGGGACCTCAGAATAGAAAACCAGAGCTCAGAAGGCCTTTAGGACATGAAATTCTAGAGGTGGGAGGGACTCTAGAACATAGAACATGGAGTCTCAGAGCAGTGGGAGACCTTTGAGAATACGCAGTGTCAAAGAGGGGATGGTTCTAGATCATGGAACATAAAACATCAATTCTGGGAAGTTCCTTAGAACCTAGAATTTCAGAGGGAGAAGGAAATTAGAAGACAGGTCACGGCACATCAGAGCTGCAGGTGCCTAAGAACATTAGTTTGGGCGCAGAGGTATTAAAGTGATCCAGGACTGGCGTCTCTGACTTCCTGTGGTCTTTCTCCCACACCAAAAACAGCCTTCAAAAATGAGATCTGGATATGAAGTAAGGCCAGAGGGAAGCTAGGGGGCGCCATAGTGCCTACAGCACTGGAGTCAGCCAGACTCGTCTTCCTGAGTTCAAATGTGGCCTCAGACACTTCCTGGCTGTGTGTCCCTGGCCAAGTCACTTAACCTTGTTTGCCTCAGTTTCCTCATCTGTAAAATGAACTGGAGAAGGAAATGGCCAACCACTCCGGTATCCTTGTTGAGAAAACCCCAAATGGGGTCACAAAGAGAGGGACACGACTGAAAATGACTGAACAATGTGAAGTAAAGGAGACTCTCTTTTTTGAAACACACACACACACACACACACACACACACACACACACACAAGAACCTTTAAATTCAGTTGAGTGTTCTCTTCTTCCATTACTCAAAACATTTTGAGAGCCTCCCTTTAGGAACTGCCTTCTGAGATGGTGTCATATGATAGCATAATAACAATAGTAGGAAAGGGAGAGGGACTGAACCTGTGATTTCATTGTGGAGAGAACTCCCAGGTGAGGAAATTCCCCCCACCTATGCAAGTTGACCCCTCCTATGTAATTTAGAGTCTCAAGGAATTGCTTTGATTTGGATGCCCATCAACTCCCATAGGGTCTGGCACAAGATAGCTGCTTAAAAAATGCTTTGCTGAGAGGTTAAGTGATTTCCCCTAGACCACACAGCCAGTCTTCCTTGATGGGCATCTCTGAGGGCAGATTTGATATTCGGAACTGAACAGAAGTCATTTTGTAGCTGGTAATAGAGCTGGAAGGGGGTGGAGACAGCTTCTATACCTTTAAGTCACTGGTGGCCGGTTCAAATAGGAGCTACATGTAAGGACCCCTGCAGGCTCTGTATTGGCTTAAAAAACTGCATATTAACATTTTCTGTGTTCTACTGATTTTGTGAAATAGTCCCCAAATACACTTTAATCTGGGACTGCCTACCTCTCTGGGCAAGGAAAGTGCTTTGTGAACTTCTTTTTTGTTGTTCAGTCATTTTTCAGTTGTGTCTGACTTTTGTGACCCCATTTGGGGTTTTCTTGGCATGGATGCTGGAGTGGTTTGTCATTTCTTTCTCCAGCATATTTTACAGATGAGGAAACTGAGGCAACCAGGTTTAAATGACTTGCCCAGGGTCACAAAGCCAGTAAGTGTCTGAGGCTGGATTTGAATTCAGGTATCCTTGACTCTAGGCCTAGTACTCTATCTACCTAGATGCCCCTTGAGTGCTGGTGAAATGGGAGTGCCAATTACTGCTGACGAGAGTAAGGAGTAAAAATGGACAGCTCCTGTGCCTTGCTGGTACCTGAAACATCAAGAGAAGCAGAGGACTTCTCCTAGCATGTTGGGTGGGCCTCCCGTGAAGAATTTATAGGAGGCCATGGACCAGAAGAGCTCAGGATGAAAGGACAGACAATTTAGGATATGCCTCACTGGGGGATAGCGTCAGATGTGTGCTGGTAATTGTTTACCAATCAGCTTTCTGGACCAAAAAAAGAAACAAAACAAAATGGTGCTCACAGGGTACACTTGCATTATTGACATTTTCTCCATTACTTTCTTAAGTCTAGGCAATCAATAAACCATGCTCTGTGTTTGCTGTTTTGTGTTTGTTGATTTCCAAGGTGTAAATGCTCCCTCTGAAAATTTAACGCTTGGCTCCGGAGAGCGGCTGCTTTGAGCTGGCTCCAGCACACCCTCCAGGTAGCACCCACATCAGTAAGAACACCCGGTATGTTTGTTTAAGCATCAGTATTATAAATGGAATGCTGTGTGATTGTAATGACCAAGCTTGGTCCCAAAGAAGAGATGAAAAAGTCTACCTTCCTCCCTTCTTTACAGAAAGGAGACATCATGGGTACAGTATGTTGCCTCTACTGTCAGACTTGGCTGAGGATGCGTCGATTGGCTTGACTGAACTGCTTTTTGTCCCTTTATTTTTTATTGTTTGATACAGGGGCTGACTCCCCACAAAGGAGACTGGGGGAGGGAGATATTTGGAAATGAAAGGGATGTAAAAACTCTGGATGCCAACAACGATGATGACGATGAATATCATTATCGTGATCTCGTTACTTTGTGATTGCCCCAGGTACAAAAGTCTGACACTAGATACCAGTCCTGATGCCCATGTATGTACATGACATTTGGCAGTCAGCCCTGTGGTCCTTGCTCTGCTCATACCCCCCAATTCTGGCATCTCACAGAACTGTCAGCAGCCTGAGGACTTAGCCCAAAGACTTTGGGCAACTACCTCCCATCCCTTAAGGCCGATGGAGTGCTGGGGTCATGGCAATGGCCCTACGGGATTAAAACATGGAGGGCGACTTCAGTACATGGGAAGGGTGTCATGTAGAAGAGTGATTAGAAAGAGTCCTGGACTTGCAGTCAAAAGATCTGGATTCAAGTCCTAATTCTGGTCCTTCCTTATGACCTTGGATAATAACTTTATTTTCCTCAGCCTCAGTTTCCCTCCTCTGTCAAACAACTAGATTGGCCTTGATGGACTCTAAGGTCCTTACCAGTCTATTGTTCAATGATTCTGTGACTACTCGCTTGGTCCCAGCAGGCAGAACTAGGAACGCTGTCTAGAAGGTATGAGGAAACATAGTTCAGCTCTGTATAAGGAAGGGCTAGATTTCTAACAGCTGGCTGGAAATCTTTAAGGTCCAATGCTGAGATTCCATGATTCTATGAGAAGGGACTTTGTTCTGAATAATGCTTTGGAAAGGGGACAGTCTTCAATAGTAATTTTGGCACCAAGGACAAGGAAACCCTAGTTAGGGCACATGGCAAGAATTGTGCTATCTGGTCAATTTTGTAATTCAGGAAGGGAAAATAATACAAAAAGTAATTAAGGCAAATTGAAGTGTGTGTGTGTGTGTGTGTGTGTGTGTGTGTGTGTGTGTGTGTGTGTGTGTGTAATTGGTGACTTCCAGCTCTAGTCCAAAGCCCTACTTGTCCTCCCCTAGGTATGGCTCAGGGAAGGAGGCAAAGGCTCGTGGAAGTGACATGTAAGGGAATGCCTCTTGACTTGGGGATCCAGAACTGGTTAAAGCATATTTATAGAATGCTAGAATCTCAGATCTGGGAGAAATCACAGAGGGTACCTGTTTTAACACATATTTGAGTAAGACAACAACTCCTATATATCATAGGTACGACAGTCCTGAAGGACGTTTATGGCACAGTTCATTTATTCAACAAACATTTAATAGATGCTGACTACTGTCCTGGTCCTGGGGGAGGTAAAGTATAGTCAAAGGAAAGGGCTTCAAATCTTGCCTGTGCTCTGTGCTACCTTTGTGATCTTAGCCAAATCACTTCCTTCATTTCTTTCCTTACCTGTAAAATTATGGGATTGGAGCAGATGATCTCGAAGGTCTCTTTCATTTCTAAAGCTTATAATCCTAAGAAGGTTTAGTTAAGACATGGTCTCCTGTCCTCAAGGAGTTTACAGTTTAGCTAGGGAATAAGATTTAAACCCAGGTCACTCCAATATGAACATATTTTATGATACATACTTTTTGGGGGGGACTGAACCTATGATTTCCTAAGGTTAGGGACTGGGAAGGAAACCCTCTCTACTACTGGCCTGGTGAGCCAAGTCCCCCTAACCAGACCCTTCAGCAAATGTGCTGTAATGCCATCTCAGAGAACTCTACCATGCTCTAACTCTCTACCCTTAGAGGACAGCCTGAGCCACTGGAATATGAGGTAAGTTTGGGTTGTCTATGTGCCCATCTCGTCTCCCTGTAGGGTCTCCACACCCCCATATGTCTGGGCTGGCCCTGGTATCCTCAGCTGCCTCCCCCCTGAGAACCCACCTTTTTCCTGGAGCCATCCCTTGGAGGTCTGCTAGGGATGCCAAGGGGCTGGTGGCTTCCGTGTTAATGCCCCTTAGAAAGAATGAATATAAATCCCTCCCATTTCTGCAGGCTTTGAGCTATATTTTATAAAATCTTCTCCTCTCCACCAGCCCTATGAGGCCAAAGACAGTTATTTTCATTTTATAAATAGAAAAGGGAGACTCTTTTCCTGGGCAACTAGAAAGGGTAGTGAACAGAGTGCTGGTTTGGGGGTCAGGAAGACCTGAGTTCAAATCCTACCTTAGATAGTTACCTAGCTGTGTGGCTCTGGACAAATCACTTAACTTCTCAGCCTCAGTTTCCTCATCTGTATAATGGAGATAATAATAACATCTACCTTACAGGGTTTTAATGAGGATCAAATGAGAAAACATATGTAAAAGCTCTTTGCAAACCTTAAGAGCACTATATAAATACTAGTAATTATTGCTATGGAGGCTACTGCAGTTGCTACTACTAGTTTACTACCTGCTGCTACTACTACTTCTTTATTTTTTTTGTGTGAGGCAATTGGGGTTAAGTGACTTGCCCAGGGTCACACAGCTAATGTCAAGTATCTGAGGCCAGATTTGAACTCAGGTCCTCCTGACTCCAAGGCTGGAGCTCTATCCACTGCACCACCTAGCTGCCCCAGCTACTATTACTTCTACTATCACCTGCTGTTGTTGTTGCTGCTGCTGTTACTACTACTACTACTACTACTACTACTACTACTACTACTACTACTATTACTACTTCCTCTTCTTCTACTACTACTACTACTACTACTACTACTACTATTACTACTTCCTCTTCTACTACTACTACTACTACTACTACTACTACTACTACTACTACTACTACCACTACTACTAAATACTACTTCTACTACTACTACTTCTACTACCTGCTGTTACTACTACTGCTACTACTTCTACTACTACTACCTGCTGCTACTATTCCTTCTATTACATGCTGCTGCTGCTGCTGCTACTACTACTTCTACTACCTGCTGCTGCTGCTGCTGCTCCTCCTCCTTCTCCTTCTCAGGAATAGCTAGTAACATCACTAGAATTTGAACCCAGATCTTCTGATTTCAAGGCTGTACAGTATACAGCTATTCAGTATATAGTTCTGCCTTGCTATAGTAACAAAAACTGTAACAGTAACTCTTGTATTCTAAAAGGGACCTCTAGTGCCTAAACTCAGAGGTATCCTTTGCCCTGGTGATGGAATTGCTAATAGGGAAGGGATTTTTGGAAGTGATGGAGATTGGTTTGGGACTGGGGTGGTGGTGGTGGCCGAGCCCTTAAAGTCACTCTGTAGAGGCAGCTGGGGTCAGCCCCTTGGGAGCCCCGAATGGGGCTACTCTTAGGATCACAGACTCAAGGACTGACATGGGACTTTGAGAGGATCCCAGATTCAGAGGGGACCTGAGACATCACCCAGTACAATCCCCTCCTTTTACAAATGATGCTTTCAGGCCCCGGGAAATGAAGAAACCTACCTGAGATGCCACAACTATGTACGAAGAGGAAGAGCTGAGATACCAGATCTGGTTCTCTGACTCCAGGTCTGATACTTTGCCTTCTCAGAAGGAATCGCGTCTCCAGTGGGACACCATGAACCTCAGTGACCAGTTCCCAAATCCCTTGGGCTTCTGTCTCCCCATAGCCTTACCTGGCTTGCTGCTGATCCCGGGCTGCAGTCACCCTCTCTCTCTGCAGAGGCCTCTTCAAGTGGCGCTTCAGTGACATCATCCTTCCTATCCCGCCCCTGCAGAGAGGCTTACCACGTACTCTGTCACCCAGGTAACCAGAGCCATCATTTCTCATTCTTCTACTCACTCAGGGGTTGTGGTTGGTCTTCCATTTCCTCCCCGCCTTTTTCCCTTCACAACCCCACCTCCTGTCCAAAACCTTGTTATCTGGGGCCGTCTACAGCCCAAGAGGAAATGAACCAAGAAATATCAGTTGTTTCCATTTTTTGGTACAGTTTGCTGCACTGTGGGTGCCACTAGCCCCTGACTCTACTAGGGGATGACCTTAGTTCTGAGGAGGGTAGTGAGACAGGGGCACCATGACTACCCAGGAATTTTACTACAACTTTGGGGAAGGGGAATGGTACAAGTAGTGACAAATGAGGTGACAATTGCCATTTCTGCTCTAGTGGCAGTGGATGGGATGTGGGCATGGATGGAACAGCTGGGCTTGGAACTGGGAGTCTTGGATTTGAATCCTAACTCTCATACTTACTAGCTGAACCTCTATGACCCTCTCTTTCCTCATCTGTAAAATGAGAGTTTGGACTAGAGCAGTGGTCCTCAATTTTTTTGATCTTAGCATTCCTATTTATTTTCAACATTATTTTCTTTTTAAATTTGAGTTCCAGATTCTCTCCCTCCCTCTCATTCCTTCCCTACCCACTGAGAGGGCAAGCAAAATGATATCAATTATACATGTGAAATCATGCAAAATATATTTCCATATTAGTCATAACACAAAAAACCAAGAAATAGAAAGAAAGTAAGAAAGATATGCTTTAATTCCTACTCAGAGTTCATCAGTTCTCTCTCTGGAGGGGGATAGCATTTTTTCATCATGAGTCCTTTGGAATTGTATTGGATTGTTGTATTGATCAGAGAAGTCAAGTGAATCGAAGTTGATGATCATTATAATATTGCTGTTACTGTATTAATTGTAACTGTGCTGTTACTGTACTAATGATCTCCAGGTTCTACTTACTTCATTTTGCATCAATTTATATAGATATTGCCATGTTTTTCCTGAAATCACCCCCCTCATTGTCTTTTCTTATGGCACAATAGTATTCTATCACAATCACATACCACAGCTTGTTCAGCCATTCCCCGATTGATGGGCATTCTTTCAACATCTAATTCTTTGCCAGCATAAAAAGAGCAACTATAAATATTTTTTAATATAAATTTATTTATTTTTAGTTTTCAACATTTACTTCCACAAGATTTTGAGTTCCAAATCTTCACCCCATCTTGCCCCTCCCCCACCCCAAGATGGCATGCATTCTGAATAACCTTTCCCCTAGTCTGCCCTCCCTTCTATCTCTCCCCCCCTTTCTCTTATCCCCTTCCCCTTCTATTTTCCTGGAGGGCAGGATAGATTTTTGTACCTCATTTCCTGTATTTCTTATTTCCCAGTTGCATGTGGAAACATTTTTTTTAAACATGTGTTTTTAAAACTTTGGGTTCCAAATTTTCTCCCTTCCTCCCACCCCACCCACCCTCATTGAAAAGGCAAGCAAGTCAATACAGGCCATACATGTGCAGTTATGCAAAACACTTCCATAGTAGACATGTTGTGAAAAACTAACTCTATTTCCCTTAATCCTATCCTGCCCCCCATTTATTCTATTCTTTCTTTTGACCCTGTCCCTCCTCAGAAGTACTTCCTTCTGATTACCCCTTTCCCAATCTGCCCTTCTCTCTATCATCCCCCTGCTCTCTTGTCCCCTTCTCCCCTTTTCCTGTAGGGTAAGACAGATTTCCATACCCAATTGATGTGTATGTTATTCCCTCCTTAAGCCAAATCCTATGAGAATAAGATTCCTTCATTTCCTCACCTTCCCTGTTTCCCCTCCACTGTAAGAACCTTTTCTTGTCTGTTTTGTGCGAGATAATGTACCCCATTCTACCTCTCCCTTTCTCCTTCTCCTAGTATAATCCTCTCTCACCCCTTAATTTTATTCTCCAGATATCACCCCTTCATCTTCAACTCACCCTGTGCCCTCTATCTATCTATCTATCTATCTATCTATCTATCTATCTATCTATCTATCTATCTATCTATCTACTATCTATCTATCTATCTATCTATCTATCTATCTATCTATCTATCCATACATATAATTTTTCCCCTCCCACTACCCTAATACTGACAAAGGTCTCATGAGTTATAAATATCATCTTTCCATGCAGGAATGTAAACAGTTCAGTCTTAATAAGTCTCTTATGATTTCTCTTTCCTGTTTACCTCTTCATGTTCCACTTGAGTCTTGTATTTGAAAGTCAAATTTTCTATTCAGCTCTGGTCTTTTCATCAAGAATGCTTGAAAGTCCTCTATTTCACTGAATGACCATTTTTTCCCCTGAAGGATTATACTCAGTTTTGCTGGGTAGGTGATTCTTGGTTGTAATCCTATCTCCTTTGCCCTCTGGAATATTATATTCCATGCCCTCTGGTCCCTTAATGTAGAAGCTGCTAAATCTTGTGTTATCCTGATTGTGTTTCCACCATACTTGAATTGTTTCTTTCTGGCTGCTTGCAATATTTTCTCCTTGACCTGGGAACTCTGGAATTTGGCTACAAAATTCCTAGGAGTTTTCCTTTGGGGCTCTTTCAGGGGGAGATTGGTGGATTCTTTCAATTTCTATTTTGCCCTCTGGTTCCAATATATCAGGGCAGTTTTCCTTGATAATTTCTTGAAAGATGATGTCTAGGCTCTTTTTTTGATCATGGCTTTCAGATAGTCCAATAATTTTTAAATTCTCTCTCCTGGATCTATTTTCCAGGTCAGTTGTTTTTCCAATGAGTTTCACATTGTTTTCTAATTTTTCATTCTTTTGGATTTGTTCTACTGTGTCTTGATTTCTCATAAAGTCATCTTCCAATTGCTCTATTCTAATTTTTAAGGAAGTATTTTCTTCAGTAATCTTTTGGACTTCCTTTTCCATTTGGCCAATTTTTCTTTTTAGGGCATTCTTCTCCTCATTGGCTTTTTGGACCTCTTTTGCCATTTGGGTTAGGCTATTTTTTAAGGTGTTATTTTCTTCAGTATTTTTTTGGGTCTCCTTTAGCAAGCTGTTGACTTGTTTTTCATGATTTTCTTGCATCACTTTCATTTCTCTTCCCAGTTTTCCCTCTACTTCTCTTACTTGCTTCTCAAAATCCCTTTTGAGCTCTTCCAAGGCCTGGGACTGATTTCATATTTTTCTTGGAGGCTTTGGATGTGGGAGCTTTGACTTTGTTGTCTTCTTCTGACTCTTTTTGCGAGGTTTGCTCATGATCCCAGCCAACTACTTGAGTTTTAAACTCTTTGTTAAGGTAGAAGTCTGATTCCAATGTGGAGAATGTACTGTCCCAAGCTTTGGGGGTTTGTACTGCTGTTTTCAGAGATACTTGTAGGGACCTGTAAATTTTCAGTTCTTCCAAGGTGGTATGATAAGGGTCGAGGTGTTTACTCTTTTCCTGGCCTGTGCTCTGGTCTTTGAGTGATCGGCCACAAGCAGTCTTTTCTCTCTTGGAATTGTGAGGAGGGTTTTCTCTCCACAGCCACTACAAGCTCCACCACGCCAACACTCCTCCTCACCCCAGGACCACCACTCAGAACTGTGACCCAGATCCAAGCATGGGCAAAGCACGAGATTCCTGCCTCAGCACTGGCAAAGAGATCCCTGCAGCCCCCCTCTGATCAGCCACTTGACTCCCCCTCAGTCTGTGGGCCAGAAGCTCAGGACGCAGCCACCGCCCCGGGCCGGAGCTTTGCACTCTGTGCTCTGGAACTGGCTCTGACCTAGCTCTTCTCTCACCAAAAAAACAGACTTTTCCCACTGACCTTCTAAGTTGTCTTTGGCGTTCATGGATTGAGGAGTCTGGAAATCACTACAGCTGCCTGTGATTCGTTCCTCTGAGGCCTGCTCCAGGTTTGCTGGGGCCTGCGCGCACATGGAACTGAGCTCCTCTCCCAGCCCGATATGCCTTTCCAATCAACCATCTAGGCTGTCTTGGGCTGGAAATTTGTTTTACTCTGTCTTTTTGTGGGTTCTGCTGCTTTAGAATTTGTTTAGAGCCATTTTTTACGGGTATTTGGAGGGGTTTGGGGGACAGCTCAAGCAAGTCACTGCTTTCACTCTGCCATCTTGGCTCCGCCTCCCTATAAATATTTTTGTACATATAAATCTCTTTCCTTTTTCTTTGATCTCTTTGGAGTATGGACCTAGTGGTGGTATTGCTGGGTCAAAGGGTATGCACAGTTTTATAGCCCTTTAAGCATAGTTCCAAATTACTCTCCAGAATGACTGAACCAGTTCACAATCCCTTCAACAGTTTATTAGTGTACCAAATTTCCCTCATCCCCTCCAGCATTTGTCATTTCTGATAGGTATGAGGTGGTACCTCAGAGTTGTTTTAACTTGCATTTCTCTAATCAATAGTGATTTGGAGCATTTTTTCCCACATGACTATAGACAGCCTTAATTTCTTCTGAAAACTGTCTCTTCATATCCTTTGACTGTTTATCAATTGGGGAATGATTCTTATTTTTATAAATTTGACTCAGTTCCTTATATATTTGAAAAATGAAACTTCTATCAGAAATTTGCTCTTAAATTTTTTGATATTCATTGTCTTTGGTAACTTTGAGTAAAATATAATTTCCCTGATAATCTCTTTTAATTAGGTCTATTTTTGCTTTTGCTTTGTCTGAGATCATGATTTCTACCCCTGTAATTTTTTACTTCAGCTGAAGCATAATAGATTCTACTTCAGCCCTTTATTTCAACTCTGTGGGTCTTTCTGTTTCAAATGCGTCTCTTGTAATCAACATATTGTAGGATTCTGGTTTCTAATCCATTCTGCTATCTGCTTCTGTTTTATGGGTGAGCTCATACTATTCATATTCAGTTATGATTAACTGCGTATTTCCTTCCATCATATTTTCTTCTGTTTATCCCTTTCTCTTGATTTTTATCTTGTCCCTCC